ATTACCCTAAATTTAATAAATAATTTTGCGAGCATCTTGTTAACTTTCTACATTAATCAATCTTCCAAATATCACATCTAACTTTATCAAAAAGTCCACTGTTATCTTTTTAGAATACTATTCTTAAAATAAGATCAACCTTAACTATTTAAACATTACGAATAATTTGTCTAAAAGTACACTAATTTCTTAGAACCTTAGATTTCTTTCGACCTCTAATTATACAGCATCGTCTAAATTTTGGGGTATTAAATTTTCATAATAATGTTTACCAATTTCTAATCATACAGCACTCTAAATTGGGTTGTATTAAATTTTTTTAATAATTTCATTCTATTTCTAATTGTGCTGGGTTCTCCGAGGGTATTAAATTTTTGTAACAATTTCGTTCTATTTTTAATTGCATAACTTTCTCCGGGGGTACCGGATTCTTTTAACAATTAACTAATTTTTCCTGTGGGATCTGATGTGCTCATGAAATGTTACAAAGGAACTCGTCACCATACACTAGAACTCTATATTCCAAATTTCAGTGACTTTACATCTCTGAAAGAAAAATATAATAAACGACAATCTTTCGATGACGTAATTAGTGTGAATCAGTGTTAAAAATTATGCAAGAATCTCGTACTTTCTCAATGACCACGCGCACCTTTCATCGAGAAGCATGGAAATCAAATTCACCTTGCACACCTTCCTATATGGTAGGTACAGCCATGTGTGTGTGTGTGTATGTGCCTGGATCAATTTACAAATACGCTTTTCAATATCGGAACGGAACTGTAACGCATACCTCATGAATATTTACAACTCCTTGCTCCACCCTGTCATCCTCGTACTGTCTCTGTCACACTTCCTCCCGTTAAACCACACAGTACTCCGCAATCCTTCTCGAACTTGTTCCACGACATTGGCCAGGGACGTTCAACTTCTTCGCACCTCGTGAAATCTCGTTCCCGAATTAATTATGCGTTCCACGAGTTGCTGTTTTCCCGTTGCAAATCGCGTATATTTCACTGTGGCTATTTTATGTTGGAATAATAAGAACGTTCCACAGCATCTGCCTTTTCTTTCTCTCGCGTGTAAGTTATTTCTCGAAGGAAAGAAAGTAAATTTGTTCTGAACGAAAAATAGAGGAGAATGTTAACGCAGCAGGTTTGACGAGGATAATTCGTTTTTTCTCTTCTGTTTTAGAGTCTAGTCGATAAATACCGGACGATATGCCGAAGAGGAACGGTGGATCGTGCTTGAGGTGAGAAGAAGTTGCTTCGAGGATGGGTTGCAAAACTAGTATGCTGGAATGCATCGAGGACAGGGGAGAGACGGAGAAGAGGAAGCAAACGGATATGCTGGACCAAGGATCTCTGCTAGGTAATTTCTCGTTGGTTTTCTTTCAGTTTGATTGGACAGAATTCTTTAAGTTTCGGGGTGCTAGATTTTTCGAGGAATTTGTCTTAAATTCTAATTATACAGAATTCTCTAAATTTGGGGGTGTTGAATTTTTCTAATAATTTTGTAATAATTTCTTGCGATTTTTAATTATGCAAAATTTTCTAAATTTCAGTGTTCAATTTTTGTAATAATGTTGTAGTAATACTTTTCGACTTCTAATTGCACAGCATTCTCTAAATTATGGGGTGTTGAATTCTTATAATAATTTCTTGAAATTTCTAATTATGCAAAATTTTTTAAATTTCAGTGTTCAATTTTTGTAATAATGTTGTAGTAATACTTCTCGACTTCTAATTGCACAGCATTCTCTAAATTATGGGGTGTTGAATTCTTGTAATAATTTCTTGCAATTTCTAATTATGCAAAATTTTCTAAATTTCAGTGTTCAATTTTTGTAATAATTTTGTAGTAATTCTTTTCGACTTCTAATTGCACAGCATTCTCTAAATTATGGGGTGTTGAATTCTTATAATAATTTCTTGAAATTTCTAATTATGCAAAATTTTCTGAATTTCAGTGTTCAATTTTTGTAATAATTTTGTAGTAATTCTTTTCGACTTCTAATTGTACAGCATTCTCTAAATTATGGGGTGTTGAATTCTTGTAATAATTTCTTGCAATTTCTAATTATGCAAAATTTTCTAAATTTCAGTGTTCAATTTTTGTAATAATTTTGTAGTAATTCTTTTCGACTTCTAATTGTACAGCATTCTCTAAATTATGGGGTGTTGAATTCTTGTAATAATTTCTTGCAATTTCTAATTATGCAAAATTTTCTAAATTTCAGTGTTCAATTTTTGTAATAATTTTGTAGTAATTCTTTTCGACTTCTAATTGTACAGCATTCTCTAAATTATGGGGTGTTGAATTCTTGTAATAATTTCTTGCAATTTCTAATTATGCAAAATTTTCTAAATTTCAGTGTTCAATTTTTGTAATAATTTTGTAGTAATTCTTTTCGACTTCTAATTGTACAGCATTCTCTAAATTATGGGGTGTTGAATTCTTGTAATAATTTCTTGCAATTTCTAATTATGCAAAATTTTCTAAATTTCAGTGTTCAATTTTTGTAATAATTTTGTAGTAATTCTTTTCGACTTCTAATTGTACAGAATTCTTTAAATTTGGAGGTGCTAGATTTTTCGAGGAATTTGTTTTAAATTCTAATTATACAGAATTCTCTAAATTTGGGGGTGTTAAATTTTTGTGATAATTCGTATCAATTTCTAATTATTGA